TTGTAGTAAAAATTTTTAATTTATTTATTTTGACATTTTGACAGTATATAATTAGATTTTAAACCGCATTCAACGTAACGTACAACCAGAATTATTAACCGTACGTTTGCCGATGACAGCCAGTCACTAAATACGTCGAAAAACAGCAAATTTCGTTGCGATTCAACAGAGCGAATATTATTTTCGAGCTTTTTTCACGCTTTTGATTATTCGGTGGGATGATGGGATACTTTGATACGCGAAACGTATCAATTATTAACACTTGGCAGAGTGTTTTCACTCGCAAAATGATTAAATTATGATAAAGCGAGTTGGTTTCGTGACGTGACATGACATCACAAGGGATGGGATGGGGGAGGGATAGTTGTGAAATTTTAAGTATTTTCACGCTTGCTCTAGCGTTCTCCCCAAAACAGGGTTGGATCAAACTATATTTATAACAGAGCCAATATTTCTTCTTCTTCAAGTACCGTCTCCTAACGGAAGTTGGCTATCATCATGGCTATTTTAATTTTATTTGCGGCTGCTCTAAATAATCCATTCGACGTCATTCCGTACCTTTCTCTGAGGTTCTTCAGCCAGGATGTTTGTCTTCTGCCCCGACTACGTCCTCCTTGAATTTTTCTTTCCATAATATTCTGGAGCAGTTGATATTTAGGATCTCTTATAACATGTACAAAATATTCTATTTTTTTCCTCTTAAGGATTTTATGTATTTCGTCTTCCTTACGGCGTAACACGTCGATATTTGTAACTCAATCGACCCAAGAAATCCGTAACATGCAACGATAACACCACCTTTCGAAAGCCGCCAGTTTGTTAATTTCGGCTGTTTTAACGGTCCACGCTTCGGCACCGTACAATAAGGTCGAAAACACGTAGCATCGGAGCATTCTTATTCTTAAATCTAAGTTTATATCTCTACTACACAGATATTTCTTTAGTTTTAAAAGAGAATTTCTGGGTATCCCGATCCTGGGGCGCTATTCTGTACACAGCATCGACAATCGTCGGTATCGGTAAGTTACCGACAGCTCTCGATACGTATTTTATTTGTATATAGTAAAAATGTGTTAATTGTTGTTGTCATAGTTACCGATCGGTCCTATGGCAGATATCGCAAATTTGTACCGACGAAAATCGGTATCTCTACCGTGCCCTTGTCAACGGTAGAGATACCGAGAATTGTCGGTACAAATTTGCGATATCTGTCATAGGGCCGATCGGTAACGGCCGAACGGTATAGCGCCCCTGGGGCGCTATTCTGTACAATCGTCGGTATCGGCAAGTTACCGACAGCTATCGGTACGTACGGCCAAGGAGCGTCGTGTTGATTGTTATTGTCATAGTTACCGATCGGCCCTATGACAGATATCTCAAATTTGTACCGACGACTTACAATATTTACAACTGAGCAAAAAAAAAACAGGAATGATCCTGTTCTTTTCACCATACGATCAAAAAAGCGGCGTCAAAAACGGCTAGGGAATGGCAATCGATGGTAATTTTGTGTGTTTGAGTTATTATTAAAGCCACCGATATACTCGTAATTAAAATTAATTAACTTATAAGCACACAAGTATAACGTGGAAGTAGCAACTCTGTCTATTTTTGCAGCTATAGTCATACTGGTTGCCTAAATTGAAACTTGCAAATAGAAGACATATCAATCGCAGTTTCCTATGAGAGCCAATCGCAGGTTGCGATTTTTTGCTCATCTCTAGTTCCAGCTATAGTTTAAAAATTACGAAAAAAATTGTTTCATCTAGATGACTGAAAATTTGTGTATTTATGTAAAATAGAAAAAGAAACAACTTTATCAAATAAATTTTTTCAAAAGCTTGCCAAGAAACCCGTTTTTAGCCATTTTTTACTCTAAATGTCAAATTTGACAGATAGCCGAAGGTAACAGAGTAGAATTTAGAATTAGAATAAGTGGGAGGGGGGTTAATCTCTGCGACCTTAGAGATCTATAGTGTACCCCTTTCTTGAGTTATAACTCATCATACAGTCCCAGGACTTCCTACGGAGACCCGTGTCCCTCACAGTCGAGGAGCTACGACCCAGGCCGGGTAGACGAAACGGTAGCTTGTGTCGCCTGTTGGGTTTAGAGGTAGGAGGTAGGCTCCCGACCCTTGGAGGAGGTGGTAGCTTGTATGCCACTTGCGCAGGATGGTCTCACGCAAGTGTCAGCCACCTCTCCTGTAGTTCTCTTTGGTTTGCCCCTTAGAACTCTCATTGTTACTGTTCCCAGTGTCGCTAGGGGTTTCCCACAGCTTCACCGGTGATGTTTTTATTACTATTATTATCAGATCTCATAGTGTTCCTATGAGTCGCTAGGGACAGTCGGTCCACTTCTACAGAACCCCGCATGTAGAAGGTAAGGGGTAAAATACAATGGGGTGCCCCCCGGTGCCCCAAGGTTGAGGCTGTCCGTAGCCCCGCCCGGTATCGTTATATGTCTTGGTGCAATTCCCTGGCCACGACACTACAGTCAGGGACAAGACGATGAGTGAGATGCTTCTTAGACCAAGCCAAGTGCTAGAGGGGATTCCCCCCAGCACCTGACCAGGAGCTTCCCCACCAACGACAAGGTCTTGCATCTCCTAGGGGAAGCAGAGTAAATGTTCTTGTCATTTTTAATCTATTGCCCAAGCCAAACTTTACCTACATCAATAAATAAAAAAAGTTCCATATAATACGCACTTAATCTGTGACACTGTATATGATAAATAATAATAGATTTTAAAATAATAATAAAATTCAAAACATCAGCCGAAACAACACGTAATATAATTTTTACATTTTCTTACGTAATTTACTACGTATAATAAATTACGTAAAAAAATAATTTACTACGCATCCAACCCTGGCGAAAATTTCCACACAATGCAACTAAATGTACCCGTGTCTGTTCATTTCCACCATCCAGCAACGGGAATTTTTCCATTTTCGCCGTGAAATTTAACGTACGAATAGCCGTCGGAAAATGTTTTCCACCGAAAGACATGACAGTAAAATACATTTAAATCGCGGGAAATTGTCCGAAATATAGGACAAGGATTTTCACGGAGTTTGACTTGAATATTTTATTCATTTAATTGCCCAGACTTGTTAAATTCGACAAAATAAAAATTAGAACTTTCATTTTGTTCAGGAAATGTAATAAGAAAGATAAACGATTTTAGTTTTCCTGCATTAAGTTATTATATTTCTATTAATTTAATAATAATAATAAATAATATTAATAGATACAATATGCTTAAAAAAAGGGTCAGCGGTGACTATGAAATCGCTGTCATTTTATATGTAAAATGTAAAATTATATGGGAAACGTCATCGATCGTCATTTCCAAGCGACGCCGCTTTTTTATCAAACAGTATTTTTTTTGTTTGGCTTATTTATACTTAAGGATTAAAAAAGTACCATACGATCGAAAGAAAACGGCGCCAAAAACAGCTGAGGAATGAAAATCGATGATAATTCTTGCGAGGTTAAGCCCTAGACGTCATTTTCTTGGCCTTCTTTATTTTTTAATTGCGCTTACTTCCAGTTGGCATTAAGAAGGTAGTAATTTATTTTTGTATTTAGTACAAGTGATTTTTAATTCGTTTGGTTTAAAATTCGAGAAAAATATTTCTTTGGAAATAAATTTGTATGTCTGACTAGCGTTTACCAGCAACTTCGTTCGAGTTGAATTTATCATTTGTAATGGTGATGATAAAGCAAAGCAAGGATTTCCATTATCATACAAACTGGATAAAATTTTCTCACATTTATGTCAGCATGAGAAAAAACAATATGGCGATATTATTATATAACTTGGTAATATTTGAGGGGTAGTTTTATCTCGTTGGAATTTGACTTTCGAAAAATCCGTTCGCCAAAAATAAGCTTTTTACGTCAAGCAGTTTAAGCAGAATCGTGGTTAAGAAATTACCCAACTTTTTGGAACACCCTGTATGATTTTTTAAAAAATTTCAAAATATGTAAAAAAACAAATAAATTATGCTTGTTCAAGCGTTTTCCCGAAAGACTAACCGTTTTTTAAATAACAAATATTGTAATATTTGAGGGCGTTTTCACCCTCTTGGAATTTGAGATTCGAGAAACCCCTCCTTATCGAACCTCTACACCCCACAGTCAATCCGTTTGCCAAAAATCAGCTTTAAACGTCAAGCAGTTTAAGCAGAATCGTGATTACTCAATGGTCATATTTTATGAAACACCCTGTATAAATTTATAAAAAATCTTAAAATATGTAAAACAAGAAAATACAATATACGTGTTTAAGAGTCTTTCCGAAAAACTCACCGGTTTTTAAAAAAAGTATTTTAATATTTGAAGGATAGTTTCACCCCCTTAAAATTCGAGTTTCGGAAAATCCCATCTTATCCATCCCATGCCGAACCTCTACGCCCTAAAGTCAATCTGTTTTCCAAAAATCAGCTTTTTACGTCAAGCGCTTTAAGCATGATCGTGATTAATCAATGACCAGATTTTTCGAAACACCCTGTATACATTTTTAAAAATCTCAAAATATGTAAAAAAACAAAATAAAATATACGTGTTTAAGTGTTTTTTCGGAAACTTGACCTTTTTTAAATAAAAAATACTGTAATATTTGAGGGGTGGTTTCACCCTCTTGGAACTGGAATTTCGAAAAATCCCTTCTTATCGAACCTCTACACCCTAGAATCAACCTGTATGCGAAAATTGAGCTTCTTACGTTGAGTGGTTTGAGCAGGATCGTGATTAATCAGTATGTCAGTCACTTAAGGATTTTATATTTTAGTATAGATAATGTTTAGGGATTGATCTCGCCGAAATTGTCATCGATTGTCATTCCCATAGATTATTTTACTTTTTGTCTGCATTAATAGCATTTAAGTCCCCCTAATTGACAATTTTTGTGGAATTGTAATAAATTTATATAAATAATCCTTCATTAATTTTTAATTTCATATTTCTAAAATTAAATATCTTTTTTTTATTTCAGAACCGAATTTTGTTGGATCCTTCGATATCGGAGAGTTCGTCCTGTTTTTCTTCAGGGAAACCGCCGTAGAGTACATCAACTGCGGCAAGAGCGTCTACAGTAGAGTGGCGAGAGTTTGCAAGAAAGACACCGGAGGAAAAAACATCCTGTCTCAGAATTGGGCAACGTATCTCAAAGCACGACTGAACTGCTCTATTCCCGGAGAATTTCCCTTCTATTTCAACGAAATCCGTAAGTATTATACTAATTTTAACAGAGTCGAAAGTCTCCTTCTCGCTAGGTGATTTTCGTTAAGTCATTTGAGGGATTTATTTCGGTCTATCGCGCCTGTCTTCTTATCCGTTCTATCATTTTTTGGTCTCACTCTGTGTATTCCTAGCATGCAATACTTTTATCTGGGGTTTTCTCTTATAAATTATTATTTCAAAATTTCTCTTCTCTCCAAAAGTTAATTTATATTTAGATACATAAGAAGTTATTTCTTTGAAAGTGGACTAGACCAACGTTGTCTTTCTCTTGATGATTAAATATTCGAAAGAAACATCAAAACACATCAAAATAAAAAAAAATATGTTTTTTAAACACTTGTCAGCAGTGATTTACTAATAAATAAATTTGCCTAACGGACAAAAAAAATGCTTAACGTTTCGGGAAGTACCGTATGATCGAAAAAAAAAGGCGTCCAGTTGGCTGGGAAATGACGATCAATGACATTTCCCATATAAATTTACATATAAAATGACAGCGATCTTCATTTCATAGCCATCGTTGACGCCGTTTTTTCTCGATCATACGGTATATCTCTTACCGTTATCGAAAGCAAAAAAACACAAAGAATAAAGAAAAAAAAATATTTAAAATATCTAATTACAATTACAAACCAAATTACTAAACAAAAATTCCTTCAAAAATTATTCACGGTTAAAGTTACCTACTCGATATATTCCTAAATTCTTCAACTTTTTTGACAAAATTATGATTATTTTTGAAAAATTTAATCTATTACTGTAAAAATATACAATTCTGATGGTGTTAAGGTTGGGAACTATGAAGTTTAAACCATTTAAGTATAGCTGATTTATTTTAATAAACATTCTTTAGTTGGTTTTTGATATTTCTTCTTATACTCGCTTAGAGCTCAAACACACTGACGACCAGGTCGCACCGGCCAGGCCGCAACTACCTCTAAAATAGAGATGGGCAAAAGTAACCGGTTTTTTGAATAACCGGTATTTTCCTCTAAAATAACCGGTTATTTAAAGGTAGTTTTTTTTCACCAGTTAACCTAATAACCTTGCATTACGTTCAATAACCTATAGCCGGTTATTTTTTAAAAAATCGTACTTGTTTTTAAAAATAAGTAACAATTAAATATTAGCTGTTTGAATCGTAAATTTCGAAGAAGCGAACGGCACGGATCTTCCAGATATTACGACGATAACGAGAGATCCTGCCCGCTCCCAAAACGAAAATATATGACATCAAACATCAAATGTCAAAATTAAATTAGGCATCAGGCGAACCCTGATGATAATAATCAAAACAACAGCCGAATGGCCCTGACAGGTCAGGCCGTAAAACAAAGTACTAATGGCATAGACTACTACTAGCCACCAGCTAGCCAAGTGATACGAACCTAACTAATAATAATAATAGATTCTCTAAATTCTATATTTAAATTTTAACCCACTTTAACGGATTTTCAACGGTTCTTCAAAAGTTTTCCATGGTTTCGCCCAGTTTCACCCACGTTTCACCGTAAATATATTTTATTTGTAGTTTGAAGTCTCTCTTGAAGCTTAGACTAAAGAATACAAAATTGAAGTTCAAGTAATGAATGAAGATAATCTTTCATTATCTATTCATTCAGTCTCCTTATTTTTTTTTTGGTATTTGATTAAAATAACTTGGTTGTAGATTGTAGAACTTGTGAGTTGTGTGGTTTATTTGAACGTTAAGTAATTACTAGTTTTAATATCATATACATGTCTACTCAAAAAAGTGAGGTTAGCATTTTTATTTAAATTCATTTTGTACATATACATATTTACATTGCTACACTCTCTATTTAACTATAACTAAGTTTATTATCTAATTTGAAGTAGACCTATGGAGTGTAGAGGTAAGTAAACCTATAGGAAAACTAAATATTTAGTTTTGCTAGGTTAGGTTATTTGAATAACCGGTTAATTTGTGTCGGTTAATTTTGTCAAGTTATTATTTTTTAAAGATAATTCCGGTTAACCTATAACCGGTTTTTTACCAATAACCGCCCATCTCTACTCTAAAACCATTAAATCAAATGATATAGCGCACACCAACGTCCTGGCCGTCCGTTGGTCGTTGCGACCAAAAGACTGCAAGGAAATATTATTTTCTGCCGCTTGTTGCCGGTTTTCTTCCAAATTAATAATTTTTCAGATGAAAACCATCAAATTCAAGGCACAATATTTTATTTTCTATAAGATATACTGTTTTAGTGTAGTTTTTGCACACGTGCAGAAAATCCAAAGAAATAGTATACAGACTGGATCAAAGGTAAACTTAAATCTAATCCCTTTTTTTATCAAGGGTCGATTCTAGTAAAAACTCAAAACATTTTTATATGACATACCTACTCTATTTATGGTTGATATGATACCTGTTATTATACCTTTGAGTTTCGATGTTTAAAAAATAAAAAAAATAATATTTAAAGTTTTTCTACAACCACTTGTTTTTTTATTAAATTAGTTTTTTTAGTTGTATTGTAGTCATGTACAAGAAGGACAACTGTATTTTAAATATGATATTTAATTTAACGTTTTTCAAACAGGGTTCATTAGACTATATTTTTACTAGGTACATTATTTTGAAAAAAAAATTAAGAAAGTAACTTAAACATTCATAAAAATAGAAGTAATTACTGTTGTAGATTCTTCGTTATATCGTAAACATTGAAATAACTGGAAGCTAAACTTTCTACCTGCTTATATTTCGAGCCAGTGTCTGACGATCTTTTTTTACGATGGCCCTTATATGTTTACTTCTAAAGTCGATAAGGGCGCCATATCAGTAGAAAAAAGAAACAGAATATCTCCTTTTTGTCGGTCGCGCGTACACAATGCTTTTTGTTTGTTGTGAATAGCAACTTCGCTTTTTAGTTAACTCGGATATTTTAACATTTCTGAAACAATATTTTCTAATTGGTAAAACGTAAAAAATCGTTAGATTTGACAACTCTGTTGAAACTAGTCATTCATCTGGCCGCAGCTAAAAACGAAATACATCCGGCCAGCCAACGGCCAGGTCGTTGCGACCTGGTCGTCAGTGAGTTCGAGCCCTTAAGCTGGATTTATAAACTCGGAAGTTGGCGTTCAGTTGAGGTTCAGTTGCAGATGGATGTTCGCGGCAGTTGAGGTTCAATATTTTTGCATTTATAAACTGTCAGTTTCGGTTGTAGGTTAGGTTTGGAATTGTGAAAATTTCGAACGTTTTTCTTTCGATTTAAAAATACTTCTGGTATTTGTCAAAGTTCAAACACAGTAATCCACGATTACGCAAAATATAAACATCACGTTAACAGAAATAATGAAACAACAATAAGGGTCATTTTCCTATGCATCGGCGTACTGTGCTTCACGTGATCGACAGGCGCTTATTCATATCAACTGACTTTATAACTTTATAAATGCGCGCGTTCATTTCATAGCGTTGAACATTTTGAACGGCAACTGAACCTCAACTGAACCTCAACTCCCGAGTTTATTAATCCAGCTTTACAATCTGAATTACATTTTGTTTTTCATCTTCACTTCTAGATAAAATATTAATGTATTCTTCTGACAATTTAACAGCTCTTTCTGCGGCATCAGTAACTACTCTCAAATTTTTCACAATTTCTAAGCCTCTCATATATCCAGGATCCTTTAACCATTCCGTACTGTCTAACTGCAGAAAACTTCTACCAATATTAAACCTTGTAAAAAATTGTAACGAATTTAAATTCAAGAAATAATCAATGTTTTTGTTTATAAACCATTTAAAATCATCCTGATTAAAAATGAAGCTTTTAGAAATATCGAACTCTTCGTCATTATTCACTTTTAAAGTTCTTCTCCGAGTTTGAGTATCTTCAAATCCTTCAATTAAATTAAAGCTGTTAGTAAGAAGTACCACATAGTGCACACACAAATTTGTTTTTAATTTTTACTTATGTTATGTTTATTTATGTTATTTTCATTAAAATCAAAGAAGCGATAGCCATACAATACTAACTTCTACAGATGCTTGCGTAATACATTTATTTATACTAGACTGTATTAAAAAACCTCTTTTATTTTTCGTTTAGTCGCTATTGCTCCTTTCAAAATAATTTTTGCTTCTTTCGCAATAATATTTTCTTTCATAGGTAGTCAGGGTCGGACTGGTCATATAGACAGTGTGGCGATTGCCACCCGGATCCCAGTCCTCGCGGGCCCCCGTCTCTTAGGACATATTTATTCTTAAATACACCGAAAAAAGAATAAATTGTAATAAACCCCAGAATTGTAGAAAACACTGCTGCATTTTGCGTCTAAAATGTTAGGCATCACGTTGTAGCTTTTATTTCTATTACAAGATCTTCAAAATACACACACCGGAAAAATCTAGGGATATCATTTTATTAAAGTTAAAAATAAATGTTTTGAATAAACAACCACATATTTGTAGGCCGATTCTTTCTACTTCGATTGAAACGAAGTAGTCACACTAGTTATTTCTAAATTTGGGATATTTGCAGAAGTGTTTGTGCATTTTTTGTCAAATGTATAAACAGCACCTAGCATCAATTGTTCGAATTTAACCTGTACTGGCTATGTTTTTATGATAACTGGGCCCGAATTCTGTAACTTTGACATAAAAACTTTACGCGTTCAAAGCGGTGAGCGCAAGTATTCGATCAGCGAAACGCAAAGCAGTCGATTTTGGTATTCTCGTTGCCATGCGTATGGTGTTCTGGATACGCGTTGAGCACATATCACCATTTCTAATGTAGGTAATAGTCAAAAATTGATAACTGACGGATGTAACAATGAAAAATGTCAATGTTACGTGAATTTCATAACCTATTATTGAGTTATGTCAAGCTATTTTTCTATGGATATGTCATTATTCTTATTATACGAGGGAAGTGTTGAAGACGCTTCTCAGCATTTTCGATGTTTTGAACAATATTTATAGTTGCCAAGTCGTAAATTATCAATTACTTATTGAGGAATTTATAGAAGAAGTAGTAATTTTCACTAAAGAGCAAGATAACGCACAAAATCACAATTTTTTCGATTTTCACAGTTCGACAAGCAAAACGATCCTTTAAGGCAACCGTTTTCAAAGCGCTCAGCGCAATCAGTAAAGACGCTAAGCGCGTCAGACGAGAATACGGAAATCGTTAAGACCGTGCGCGCTCAACATGCGCTCAACGAAAATTAACGTCATATACGCTGAGCGTCTAAAAGCGCTTACCGTTTTCAAAGTTACAGAATACGGGCCCTGACCAAAATTCATTCAAATAACTCTGTTTAGTCTTAAACGACATTATGGAGCGTACATCTTAACAGAGACGAAATGCTAAAGGCCATGGGTATGCTTGAAGCTGGAATGAGCCAAATCGACGTAGCTAGAGCATTAAATACAACGCAAATTGTAATATCGCGATTAAGTGCACGCTACCGTGAAAGTGGTGATGTTGCTGAAAGGCACACAGGGCGACATCGCATTACTACCCCTCAGCAAGATCATATTTTACAATTAAATGATCGACGCCGACCGACTCTTACAGCACCAGAGCTTAGTTTAATTCTCCAGGAAACACATAATGTAACCGTTAGTTCTGACACTGTTCGCAATAGATTAAGAGAGGTCAACTTAAGAAGCAGACGCCCCTGGAGAGCTCAACCCTTAACGAGAGGAAATCAAGAGGTACGATATTTGTGGGCTCAAGATCATGTTTAGTGGTCGAATGAACAATGGGCCAATGTTCTCTTCGCGGATGAGTCACGCTTTGGAATTCATCCGGATTCGAGAAGGCTTAGGGTATGGAGAGAACTGGGAAATCTTATTCGGCTGGATCATGTTCAGGAAGTGCACCCTTATCAAGGTGGAACAATTATGGTCTGGGGAGGAGTCCATTTAGGCCGAAAAACCGATCTCGTTTTACTTGAAAGGTTTCTAACAGGAATCCCATATCGTGATTTAATTCTTGAGCCTGTCGTGTTACCATATGCCAATGATTTTGGGAGAAACTTCATTCTCATGCATGACAATGCACGGCCTCATACAGCCAGAGTGGTAAGTCAGTTTATCAATGCTCATCAATTAAACATCTTACCCTGGCCGGCACAATCTCCTGACCTGAACCCCATCGAGCACGTATGGGACGCGGTCCAAAGAAGAATTTTGAGAATGGGTATGCCTCGTCAAACTCGTAGGGATCTGGTTCGGGCCGTGAATGCAGCGTGGCAAGCTGTACCTCAAGAAGAGATCGACAACCTGATCAGGAGCATGGAGAGACGATGTAGGGCTGTAATGAATAGTAGAGGAGGCCATACCCTTTATTAAGTAAAAATGGTTTTATCTTTTTTTTTAATTCACAGTTTAGAATTAAAAAAAATGTGTGTATTTTTTTGAGTTCAATAAAAATCAAGGTAAATTTGCAAAATTCGGTAAATTTCACATTTTTATTTCCAATACTGTAAATTATTTGTTTATTTTAATTTTATTACATCAGAAATGCAAATAATAAAATTACTGACGATGGCTGGATAAAAATGTAATATCCCTAGACTTTTCCGGTGTGTGTAGTTAAATATGCTTGATTTTATACGAAAATAGCGAACAAGTGTGGTGCTAATTCTCACAATTTGTGCATTATTCAGATTGTACTCGTACAAATTGTGCTCGTTGAAATTTAAATGAAAATCATTATTACAAATTGTAGCACTACTAACTATATTTTTTTTATTTTACTACTATTTATTTTTTGGCACAATTTTACTACGCACTATTGTAAACTGAATTGGGGAAGGGTACAACCTGTGGTGCAATGTAATTGTTATTTTCCGTGTAGAAATGAAACAGAAAAAACTGGCGGTAATATTCTGAGGTTATCCCCAAAACCTTTTTTGGATTAACTATATTTGCATTTGCATTGCATTACGGGTAGTTTCCTGATTTTATCACGGAACATTAACAACAAATTAATATAGTGAAAAATTGACCAAAACGAAAAAATGCACAAAATATTTCCACCAGGGCCCCTCTGGTCCAGTCCGACTCTGGGTAGAGTTATTTTTAGCAATGCCTAACTTTACTTAGAGCAAATATTGCTTAAACTAGTATGTAGAGCAAATATTATTTAATTAATAGTTTCCCTCTGTAATTAATTAATAGTTTCCCTTTGTTTCATATTCCGTTTTTGCAGGCAGTAAATTCTCAATTAGCCCGATTTCGACGAACGTCTCTAACAGCACAATTTCACAGATCCGTCTTAGTTAGAGAAATAGAGACAAAGCGAGGCTGGAAAGATAGAGACGGGCGTAACGAGTAAATAAGTCTTTGTGTTAGGTTATTGTTACTCTCGGTTCTCTTCTCGTTAGTTTCAATAATTGATTCGCTGTTCGTTTCCGCTTTGCTCGGCGTCACTTTAACGCCTCTATATTATAGATTTTTCGACTCTATTTCCTCTATTTCCGGACGCCTCTAACGGTTTAGCACAGCTGCCATTTAAAGGAAATTAGTTAGTTACTCTGCACTATCCAAAATAATACTTCTATTTTTTAAATTCTAGTTAAAGTTTACGAAGATGAATGGTATAAAATTAACATATTTTTTGTGATTTCAGAAAGCATCTACAAGGTTCCTGGCGATGACACCAAATTCTACGGTACCTTCACCACCTCGACCAACGGTCTTATGGGCTCTGCCATATGTTCATTCACGCTTCCCGATATTCAAGCGGTTTTCAGTGGGAAATTCAAAGAGCAGGTACGACTTGTATATACCGTATGATCGAATAAAAACGGCGTCAGCGATGGCTATGAAATGAAGATCGCTGTCATTTTGTATGTAAAATTAAATGGGGAATGTCATTGATGTTCATTTCCAAGCCAACTGGACTCCGTTTTTTTTCGATCATACGGTATTATCAATGTATATAACATACAGGGTCCGGAAATAGTGCGTCGGGCATCTGTAGCTCCTAGAATAAAAAAACTTGAGAATTTTGTTTAACTGCAAACGTAAAGTATGTACCAGAATATATTTCAGGAAAATATTTTCACTTCTATAGTGTGGCTTAAAAAAGTATGAGTGGATCTGGATGATTTTTTTTAAACGGAACACCCTGTATATTATTGTATTTTGGGCTTCCTTTCAGATCACTTTACACAATTCTAAGATATAAGTGAATATATTTCGATAGTTCCAGAGATATTACAAAATAAATCAAAAATATATATTTTTCAGCCCTTCTTAAAAAAATTATTAAAAATACAAGAACTGTTCTGAAATCAAAACTATATTAGGTATTTACTTTAGATGGTCTGTTCATACTTTACTAAAAATATGGTAATCGTAAATCATACAGGATGTTTATTATTCTACGCCAAACTTTCTAAAATATAAAATAATTTTTCATTGTTATTTTAAATGGAACACCCTATATATTACTTTTTCAATAGATGGAGAATTAAAAAATCAACATTTTTTTTATTTAAAGTATTTCAAAATTTTTAATAGTTTTGCAGATACTCAGTTTGGTTCTTTGTGAAACATCGTTGAAATATTAGTATTTTAATAAAACACGCTTTTAGATGTATCAAATTTAATGAGGGTAACTTTTTTTTCGAAAAATATAACATTTTTCCAAAATAAATTACTTAAAAAATGTTACTAAATTACTAAGAATAGTTAAAGTATGAAAGTTACTAATTGATTCTCAGAATCAATTTTATGCAATGCCGATGTTTTCCCTATATACCCTTTGTATTATATTTTCATTATACTTCAAAAAATATATTTTTAATGCAAAATTATCATTTTTTAGGCTACCTCGTCGTCGGCATGGTTGCCGGTTCTCTTCAGCAAAGTTCCCGAACCCAGACCAGGCACTTGCGTGAACGATACGGAAACCCTACCGGATTCGGTACTGAATTTTATGAGATCGCATCCACTGATGGACTCAGCTGTGATGCACGAATACGAAAAACCGGTATTCTTCAAGAGAGACGTGTTTTTCACTAGATTGGTCGTTGATAAGATTAGAGTGGACATTGGTGGTGCTTTCATTGATTATACAGTTTATTATGCCGGAACAAGTAAGATATTTTTTTTATTTATCATGAAAGTCAATTTAAAATAAGTAGATTTCAACAAGGACATCTAACTAAAAGAAGGAACACTCCATTCATAAAACTCTGTGTAGGTCTTATCGAAATATGAAACTTGTTCGTATCCATTACGGTTACCGAGATACCAATGCTCGTACCCCGAATTTGTAGCGCCCTGTATATTCCGCCATATATTTATATAAATATGATATTTCCGCCATATTTCCGCAAATGACAAAGATAAGTCCAATTACTGAACCGATTACCATTGAGTTCACTAACAGGGGGAACTTAGTCCCAATTTAAGAAACCCCGTATCTCTTACCGTTTCCTAGATCGGAGTGGTGAGAGTCTAATTTGAGTCGCCTTGTATATTTTTATAGTTTTCTAAAAAAATAATTATGTTTTAATGATGTTTCTTCCAATAGATGACGGTAGAGTACACAAAATTGTCGAATGGACCAAGGACAGCTCGGAGGGTTCATCCTCGATACTTCTGGATGTCTTCGACGTGACTCCAAGCGAACCTATCCAAGTCATGGCCATTTCCAAGGACCACAAAGCTTTGTATGTTGCCTCGGACTACAGGGTGAAACAAGTAGACTTGGTGATGTGCAACAGAAGATACGACAACTGTCTTCGGTGCGTACACGATCCTTACTGTGGATGGGACAAGGATACTAACGTGTGCAAACCATATTCACCAGGGTATGTTTTTTTGTTAATTTTCCTGTACAATTTTCTGTTATTTGATTGGAACCGTTGGTATTACAACAGCAAAATAAAACAACAAATCACCACAATACACCAAAACACTTTCCTTTTGCACTGGACACATGTTTCGCTAACTATGTTAGCATCATCAGCAGATGAGTAAAACTAGTTTTAATCATCTACTGATGATGGTAAAATAGTTAGCGAAACGCGCGTCCAAATTACCAACAGATATTCAGGCTGAAGTGACAAACGCCATATCCAAACTACTTCCATTTAAATCCCGAATAACTTATGAAAAGGAATACACAAATTTTCAAAAATGGAAGCAATTAAAAAACGTGCGAGAAGAAATAAAGTTTTTAACCTATCCTTTATCTACTATTTTTGATAAATACAAGGCAATTTTAACGTTGCTATGGAAAAAATATATAATTATTATATTATTAATGATTTTTACAGATTGTTACAAGACGTTTCGAACAGTACCATTGACGTGTGTGACAGCAGCGTGGTAAAAAAGAAAATGGTAGTCACGTGGGGCCAAAGCCTTCACCTTGGATGTTTCCTAAAAATGCCGGCAGTTTTAGCGTCACAAACCATCACCTGGTACCACTATTCGAAAGAGAAAGGCCGCTACAAGATCATGTTCAACCCGGAAAAATACATCGAAACCTCCGAACACGGTAAGCCACGTAGGGTAACCTTTATGACCGAAATTTTACGTCTATGACCCGCTTTATTTTCGAAAAATTTCGAAATGAACACATGAAAATATTTATTTTAGAGATTATGTGATGGGCTAGACGGGTAGGGTAGTCTATCTAACCAAAATTTAGGGTTTATTATTTATTTTCAAAAATAATACATTTTCGTTTTTTTTTAGGGTTGGTGATAATTTCTGTGACGGAAGCTGATGCAGGAAGGTACGACTGCTGGATGGGAGCGTCGTTGTTGTGCTCCTACAACGTGACGGTTGATGCTCACAGGTGCTCACCGCCAGCCAAGAGCAACGATTATCAAAAAATCTATTCGGACTGGTGTCACGAGTTTGAAAAATATAAATCCGCCATGAAAACGTGGGAAAGAAAGCAAGCGGTATGTTAGAAATAGTTATATTTAATTTTAAACAAATATTTATTAAAATACCAAAATCATTACGAGTTAAACGAGTCTGAGTCTATATTTTTATTGAGTATACAGTGTGTCCCAGGCTGAGCGTATATTAGAAATTGCAAGAGAAAAAATATCAATCGGAGATTTTTTACATTTTCACCAGGGACGTGCATATGGTTTATCGCTGAAATATTTTTCTAAAAAAAACATGTACCGGGTGGCCAACTAAGAATGGACGCCGGCTGTATCTCAGAAACTACTTATCGTATAACTTTGGGAAAAAAATTCTAATAAGTAAATCGACCAAGAGAAATGGCTGGAAATTATTTTCAAGTTCGAAAAATGTCCGCTAGGGGGCACTTCTCTGATAGCCAATCAGAGAACAGGGTTTTTCTCAAAAATGTGTAGGTGAACAGGTATTTTAAATATTACTATTATAAACATCGAGAAATTTGTATTTTTTTTATATAGAGTATTTTGCTCTGTCTCATAAAATAAAGTGGTGGGGGAAGGTTAAACTTACTTTTATTAAAATAAGGATAACTCTGGTTTAGGTTACCCGATTTAAACAAACTAGGGCTCGTTTAAAAGAGCTTTTCTTCCTTAATGATTCCCAGTATAAATTGTGTTTCTACAATTTTTTTCGTGGTAGCTAGAGGGCGCTATTTGACATCATAACAGATATTGCGCTTTTGCATAAAAAAATTTAAATGGGAGGCTATATTTCTCTTTACACAGTCAAATAGAGCACAAAATTTCCAAAATATCAGCGCAAGCCGCAACTTTCTACCTTGTCTTTAACCGGAAATATTAAGAGAACAAATTATGTTAGGCTGCCGCCTAACATAATTTGTTCCGCCTAAATTATAGTAGTAGGCTTGGAAAGAAAAAGAGGTAAATTGGTTACGTCAATTGTTATTTATCCATGTTCGTTCTTAATTCGACCAAAAGCGCAATATCTCTTATGATGTCAAACAGCGCCCTCTAGCTACCACGAAGAAAATTATGGAAACAAAATTTATACTGAAGATCGTTAAGGAAGAAAAGCGCTTTTAAACGAGCCCTAGTTTGTTTAAATCGGGTAACCTAAATCAGAGTTATCCTTATTTTAATGAAAGCAAGTTTAACCTTCCCCCACCACTTTATTTTTTATAAGATAAGCGAAATATCTATATCAAAAATTACAAATTTCTCGATGATTCTAATAGTAATATTTAAAATACCTGTTCACCTGCATATTTTTGAGAAAACCCTGTTTTCTGATTGGCTATCAAAGAAGCGCCCCCTAGCGGACATTTTTTGAACTTGAAAATAATTTCCAGCGATTTCTCTTGGTCGATTTACTTATTAGAATTTTTTTCCCAAAGTTATAGGATAAGTAGTTTCTGAGATACAGCCGGCGTCCATTCTTAGTTGGCCACCCGGTACGCCACTGACTTTTTTCTCTTATTGGCGAAATAATGTAAGTCTCTTACAATAGTGTAATGTCTCCTTGATGAGATAAACGCAATTTTATTCATTTTCCTTGATCCAAGCATTAACTTGCGAAAGTTTTTAATAAGTACTCATTGATTCCTCATCATTTCTTTAGACTTAATCGAAAAATTATTTTTTCCAGCAATGCGGTACAAGGCAGAACACCAGTAACCAAAACAGTCACTCAAACGAAATCTTCCGAACTCTGGTGTGATAGCTGATGGAGAGAGGCCCTCTAGCGCTGACTTATTTAGGTATTCCCGTTTGGTGGACTATCGTATTGTTTGTGTAAATACGTTATATATCTTAATTTTATTTCGAAAAAAAGAGAAAATTTTCAGTTTTTCAACCGTCTTGTCGAAAAAAATCGAATTCGTTTGAGCGGAAAAGTGCCCGTTTTTTGGAGAATTACCGTTAAAAAATATGAGTAATTAAATTTAGCTGGGTCTTTTTTTTTATATTGTAGCGAAGTTTAGAGCTTTTAGAAACACGTTGCTTTTTGTATTTGTATTCGTCTCTTTAAAAAAAATGTGTCGGCGAGTGTACGACATGGCAAAAATTAGAAAATAATAGTATATGTTCTGTATTTCAGTTGTTATATTGCTGTTTTGGCTTAGTAAGTATTTAAAGGGGCTAAATCAGGGCTCAAAATCAAATATTTGAACTAATGAAATTCTCTTATAGTGGTAAGAAATACCGGGTGTACCAATAATCCGTGGGCATATAACTACTATGTCATTTTGGAATCAAAATAAGTTAATTTAACATAATTTGCCTCTATAAATAGTGCATCTTTTGTTCGTTAATATTAACTAATTTAAAATTTATGAACCTTATCGTCAAAGCGTATTTGTGGTATTGGCATTCGTCTAGTAGATTTTATCTTTTGACGTGTTTAATATTTTGAAGAGAAACTTCATTAAGCGCTCTGGGAGTAAAAATTTAAGGCCGTGACACACAAGCGCGAGACGAGAAGTAGTAACGACAACCTACGGCTTAGAAAAACGTGTACAACAGTGAGCAGTCCACGTGTTTATCAAAAATATTGATGTTTTAATTGTTCATTATTTTTTTTATTTTACGCGTATAAAACTATTTGTTACACGTAAAAAACTATTTTTTTACACGTAAAAAACTATTTGTTACACGTAAAAAAAACTATTTTTTAAACTTAAAAAAACATTTTTTTTTAATTTATTAATTACTTTTTCAATATTTCGAAGTATACTTTTTCAAACGAAAAATCAGGATTTTTCTTAATTATGGCTCGATTAGAACCAAACTCGGCACGTGGATAGAGGTACCCGAATGGAGTCCTCAAGCAGACTGACGGACAAACGGTCATTTTGTTCTCAATTTTGTGAAAATCAAAAAAGAATCAAATGTTTTATTAATTTTAACATTAATTTTTTCAACATTTCAAACTACAGTTTTTCAAAAATGTCCTTCAAATCCTTCATTTTAATAGCTGTTAGTAAGAAGTTTTACTTCAAATATGCGCACATAGTGTACACATAACTTTTAGCCGATTAGCCGTTTAACCGATAATAGCCGTAGGCTATTAAAATCGGCAAAAAAAAAGTTTTTTTAATTTCACTCAAAATGAGTTATTTGGGTCATAAATGACCTAAATACAAAATATTGTCATGATGTCTGCCTGTCTGTCTGTCCGTCTGTCCGTCTGCCGTTTGTAACACGATAACTCAAAAACCGCTGAACCGATTTTAACCAAATTTGGCACAAAAATACTATGGCACCCGAGAATCTGGCCATTAGTTTTTGGCGAAACGCGGTTTTCAAATTAAAATTAGGAATAATATTTGCAACAAATTTGTAATACCATCTAAATCAGTCAGTCGCAGTTTTCGAGATATTAACATATTTTAGTATGGGCGGCTATACGTGCCTCCCGGCGCCAATTTATTTTCCTAAAAACAATGCGAGATGTCTTTTTTTACAAAAGACAAAAAAATTACCTAGTAATAATCCTAAAAGGGTCCCGTTGAAGTAAAATAATTTTGCTTTAATTTATGTGGAGGTGATATTTTTCATTCCTCTTTTCTGGTGTTTTGTAAAACAAATATTATCGCACTTAACCAATTATGACCATAAATTTAATTCAAGTCAGAATATAGGTCTTAAAATACCTTAAAAATGTGTTTATGAAATGGAAGGTATAGTGAGAATCAGCCTTTAAACGGACAAACAAAAAACTTCTGTATAGACGTACATTGTGTTCAATTAACTTATTTTGAATCCAGAAATATGTAGTAGTTCTATTTCCGCGAAATAATAGGACACCCTATATAACTTAAAGTAAAAAACTCATACGGTCTCACTGCTTCTTGAAATAATAAATTTTATATATTTTAAGAGTTTTTTTTTTACAATACAAAACAAATTTACACAATAAAACACGCCTTTTATACTAAGCCAAAATTCGCCAAACTGAAAAAAGAAACACGAAATAAAGAAATCTTACACTTCAAAAATTTTCTATTAAAAAAAAAAAATATTAAAAATTAATTATCTCATTAGTCGATCAGCTTTTTTGAAAAAATTAACGAAAAAAACTGATATCTAGGACCAAGACGATGACGATGGATTTTCGAATGAAAATGTTAGTTGAAACGATGATAATGATACCGTATAATCAAATAAAATGTCTAAATAAGTGTTTAAATAACATTTCTTAAATTTATCGCTGAAATGATTGACATATAAAGAAAAGATTATTTTTTGCTCCATCCCACCGCTAAAACTGGCTCGTAGCTCTACGGCCTGACCTGTCAGTGCTTGTAGCGCAACCAAGCGGCCAACCCCAAAACTAATTTTCGCAGCCACCGTAGAGCTATGAATCTCGTGTAAATGGATGTCTCACCAACTTTGCCTGATTTTTCA